TTTAACTTCACAGACATTCCCTGTAATTAACATTGTATTGTTGTAAATCTCTCAAAACAGAGATTGATATTGTCTGCCATTGCATTGTCTTGCCTTTCAATGAGCAAATAATTAATCCGTTAATTGCGAATAATGTGTTTCAGTTCATAAATTTTAAAGTAGATAAATTAATTAGATACAAAAATTATGTTTTAAATTTCCGTGACTAATTATTCCACTTCCATTCCACTAGCTAGTACACAAGGCTAGTACGCAGTGAAGAGTCTACGTAACGTCAAATGCCTTTAGTTGATTCCGCGCAACAGTGAAAGTGTTGAATCTATCACTTTTGAAAAAATACCATACGGTGTGAAAACACGGTTCCTAAATATTTTCGCTATAGAAAAAAAACACAAACTTATTTCGAAATTTTACAAGAAAACCGCTGTATTCAATAAGTACTTTACATACACATTTTTTTATATAAACTGAACTAAATAGAAAACGTATGCTATATGATACACATTTTTCAAAATGGCCTTAATTTCATTTGTAAAACATTAAGTCTGAAATAAAGCCAGTGCGTGTCCCTGTCGCTCGATACAAGCAAAATGAACCGGACTCCATTTTTTATAAAAAATATCGATCTCATTGGTTTATTTATCAGCTTTCGCTGTGTTCGTTACTGCGGTCTCCTCAACGAAAACTGTATCTGAATCTATAAAACTGAAAAAAAACCGATCACGTAAGGCAAAACACAAGGTAGCTGCTGTACTCTGGAGTTCCTCTCATCTGTCTGTCAATGTCCATCATCAAATCAGGTCTAGGTCACCATAACTGTTTATTTTCATTGGAATTTACATCCGTGTGTCAAGTTTTTCTGAAATCCGTTGACAAAAAATGGGCGAAATACTGGATACATTCCCTAAGACCATTTGTACACTACATCCGATTCATATCATTCACGACATCCATCCGAAACAATTACTGTGAAATAAGTCATACTCGACCAAATTAAAAAACGTATGATGCGAATGAAGTTTCTTAATTGCCATTATCTTTTCTTTCTTGACTATGTTTTTTTATGAGCCCTCTTGTCCCATTGATTCTGGTCTGGGGTATCATCTGGCCAGTCCTTTAAAAAGTAGTCTGCGCATTACGTTCGCGTCGTGTCAGGGGCTACTCTCGATCTTCGTCCGATATCCGTCCGAAATAATTACTGTGAAATAAGTAATATTCGACAAAATTAAAAGACAAGTATCCAGTATGAGCTTCATTCGCATCTTTTCATTTGGTCAAGTATTGCTTATTTGGCAGTAATTGTTTCGGACGGATGTCGGACGGAGATCGAGAGTAGATCCCCAGTTCCGAATCCGAGAAATGACGGTCCGAAATGTCATAGGTGTCCGAAGTGTCATTTTATCTCTAGGTGTGCAAGCGGTATTCGTGTCTTCTCGGATTTAATGCACAAGGGACATCCGAAGTGAGTCAGAGTTTTCTAGATTTGTATTGTCTCGGATTCACGTTGTCACGGACAGGTGGAATATTTATTACATATTTAAATAAGACTGCTGAGGTACACCTTTTCTAATAAAAGAAAAATCGAAATCGATTCTGAAATGTCGAATTAATTGCGCAACATACACATGAAAAAAAATAGACTAACTGAGAACCTACTCCTTTTTTTCAGTAGGTTAAAAATGAGAGCTTTTGTACTGCCTTAAAATAAATCAGCTACTTCTTAACCTAGATTAAATATAAGCGGGCCGCCTGAACAGAAAAGAGTCAGAACTGACCGTTTTGAAACTGATATGGTGTAATTGGTGCTTTAGGTTCTTCTGATCTGCATCTTCAGATGTCAGATGGACCTACTTTTACCAAGTTGATTTCTGAGACATCTTATATGATATATTAAGATTAAATTTTCTTATACGGGTACCCCAGGAGTTTTACGAAAATCAATTTATGTTCAAAATAATAACTTTTTCGTCATAAAAGTTTTTTATGTAACGAACAAGTCGTGAGCCTGTTGGTAAGCGACACACCTGTCCATAACAGTAACAGTGCCAATCAGAGTTTTAACTCGCAAAGATTTGAGGGGTACTGCCACTGCGCCCATCTTCCTGAGACATAAGTTACCAAATCCCATATGCCAGTAATTCCACCAGCACCCTTCGAAACCGGAACGCAGTAATGCTCACATTACTGCTTGGCCGCAGATTGGTAAGGTGCCAGTACTTCCCTGGACGAATTCTTTCACAAGAAGCTCTACTGCTACAAAGTTAGAAACTTTATGAGTCGATCCTACCTTAGCTCGAATTTAATTTTTTCTCGTACCGAATCGCGTCGATTGCGCGAGTCGAGTGACAGGGACACCGGCCTTTACCAAACCCAATTAAAGCCATTTGAAATACGTGTTCTATTTAGTTGAGATGATATTAAAAAAATTATTGGTATATGGTAGGTAAAGCACTTATTGAATATAGCGGTTTTCTTGTGAAAATTTCGAGGTAAGTTTGTGTTTTTTTTTTCTATCGTGATAATTTTTAGAAATCTGGTTTTCACCCTATATAGTAATATATTCTCAATTGTACTATATATTTTTTTCAAAGTTATTGAGTTATCAACTCTTCATAAGAGAGTCATATAGACATTCCATTCTGAATCTTACACTGCCAAGATATTACATATTTCAAAATAGAATAATAAAATATACCACGGCAATTTCACACTTACGTTCCTTGACATTAATATGAGAAACAAAGTACATACTGGCTGTCTAGTTGTTGACAATAGTCTTCACAAAGTCGCAAGTTCATTTAAGGGGTAATGTAAACATACTATGTAATCGCTTTTATAATAAAATTCCTGTTGGTTGGAATTCAAAAGTTGCCATTTACGAGTTTTAAAACTATCGTATAATAGAAAATGTTGTGCAAAAGGTAATTTATAACACAACTTCGTCGAACTTGGATGACAAATAACCATAAAAGTGATCCGGTAAGCTCTTCCAGTTTGCTTCCTCCTATGATACTTTTTAAATAAATATTGTAAATAATGTAATTTGCCCACAAAGATCCAATTCTGAAGTTTCTAAACTGTTTTTCTTAGGGCAATCTGCTTCATGATTGAGTTGTAGTATTTCAAATTCATATTCAAAACTAATCTTTATTTCATAGGTAAACATTATTACAATTGAATTTTTTTTTACTTAAGGCGTGAAATTTCAAGACGATCTTACATTTTAAGTAGTGAAGCCGCTCCTCGCGCGACATCGACAACCTGCGCTGAAAATTAATATGAATTAAATAAGAACAGGTGGAGAAAATTTAACAAAGATTCGCGACAAAGTGCGCGACGCGTCGTTAAACCGCTGGGCAATTTTCAAATTTTGGAATCATCGAGTATGCGAGTATAACCAGAAATAGAGACGAAATGTCATTTAATTTGTTTGAAAACTATTCTGCCATATCATTACGATTACAACTACGCTCCAGCTCGCAGCGGTGTCATCAAATTGTTTTACTTCAAAACGACCAGTTTAACTTGAGCTATGCTATAATGGACGAAAATTGAAAAATACATATTTAATATTTAATTACAGATGAAATGTGATTCCGTTTGTGTTGTAATTAGATGTTTTACTGTTTTTCTCACATCACCGAATGGAACAGCGCCCCATTGTTAGAGATATTATCTTTAATAGAATAAATACAGAATATTTTTTTAAATATACGGAGACGTACACACAGGGCAGTTGTTGGCGTGTCTATATTTCAGTGCAAACGAGAGTTGATATTTATAAGTAATGTAATGTATGTATAAAAAACATGGCCTTGTTACTAAATAAGTAACCAAAAGGTGCATTTAGATATTATTATATAGACATATATTTTTAGCAGCAGTGGAGCTCCTTAGCCTTAGCCCTTACTTATTTCCGCCGCCAAGAAATATTGTTCACATTACTGTGTTCCGGTCTTGAAGGGCAAGTGCTGGAGGAACTACAGGCACATGAGACTTGTCAACTTATGTCACAGGTGCAGTGGCAGTGTTCTAGCTCTGAATGGCACTCTAACTGTTATGGACAGGCGTGTCGCTTACCATCAGGCGCAGGACATGTTCACTCCGCCACTTGATATTATATATAAAAAAATAGGTAAGGCTGCAGATGCACACTTCCTGTACTAGAAAAAAAATCTATTTAATAAGGGTCACTCATCCCCGCAGTTTGCGCCTTTCGAGCTTTAATAAGTTACTTCCAGAATAATTAATGAACAATGATTTGTGAAGTCGTTTTACGATATAAACACATTTTGTTCATTTTTTTTAATTAGGTCAGTTTCATTCTAAAGATACGATATACAAAACTTTCGTTACATTTGTGCTCTCGGCTACTAAAGTTATATTTAAAACCATTTTAAAATTCGAATCGAGTTGCTTTAACAAAATGTTAAAGCACCTTGCAAACTACAACCTAAAATGGCGGTTGTTTTGCAAATGCGCTTCAAAAAAACAGTTTTTTCTTGCTAGTGCCTTTGCAACAAATATTGGGTTCACTAGATTTAGATAAAATTGACTTCATTTGACTGATTGAAAGTCACTGAAAAATGGAATTTGTTTTTTTTTTGAGATATTAACAGCTGAGGTTTTCCCTTTTATTTGAAAAATGTCAATTGCGCTTACTTTGTTTAACCATAAAACAGAAACTAAATGAGATATAAAAAAACCGCTTATAGGGGGTTGTAGATCTCGTTTTGCTAATTCCAGATATGGAAATAACTCAAATGCGCTTAAAACACCGATTACGTCATTAATACAAAAGGGGGCAGTTGAATTAAATTTGATCAAGAGAAAAAATAAAATAATTATAATACTACACATTCAGCATGGCTGTATGTAAAGTTAGGCAATTAATCACTATACTGGAAATAGAGTGGCTAGCGCAAATCTGAAATCTGAACAATTCCGTGAGCCTCCCCCGAAGAGCATAAAAGCGCGCACGCACTCAAACTCCCGCATTTCATTCTGCGCGCGTGACTTGCGCAGTGCCAAGTAACCGTCAGTGCAACATGAAGTTAGCGGTGCGTGATTTTGTGTTTGTTTTTTAACTTTCACGTTATATGTACGCAAGGGGTGAAAAAGTGATTACGTTACTATAAGATGCATATTAGTATGTCATAGTTTTGCCATTTACTCTTAGTTACAATTTGCGGTAAAGAAAAACATGGTGAAGAAAAAAATGGTACCTACGGGAAATGTGCTATTATTTACATTTTTTCAATATTTGCTCGGGTTAAACGAAGTCCGGGCCGTGTTTGGTTTTCCTTGGATTTGATTAACTTATGACACTCTTAATAATAAAGTGACTAAATCGAAAAGTAACATATCTGTTAAAATAATAAAATTGGTCTGATTTTTTTTTCTGTGTGCAGGTTACTCTATTTCGACATTTTTGTGAACAGTGAAAAGGGAGTACGTCAGTAGCAGTCCCATTAAAATTTGAAGAGAATATTCCACCTCTAAATAAGGGGATGAATCTAGTTTATTCCATTTCACCAATTTTCCGTTAATCAATAATACTTAGCAAATAGATGTAATTACACAATCTTTTGAGGTCCTTTTTTTTATAAAAATGTTTTTTCACGTCAAATATAATTTGTCATATATTCCGCACACGTTTTTTTATCTGTTGCCAGTTTCTTAAAAATTCCTTTTTGACAGTTTATAATTGAATGTGTGATATGAAAAGTTGTGTTCTAGAGCTGATTCAAAATCCTATAAACTTTGTACGCAATCAAAATAATTACTTCTTTTTATTAACTAAGAATTAAATATTAATTAAAAGAGAGGTGTCTAGCTGGACATCATCGAGTTTCAAGTGTAATAAATCAAAAACCGTTATACATTTATTTAATCGACATTAGATATAGTGCCGTGTTGTGTAATCAGTGAAAGTAACGTTATCGACTTTTGTTGTTTTTTGGTGCAAAAAAAATCAAGATGAACCGTTCCGATAAGTGATTCCGTTATGACATCGAAACATGAAAGAGTTTTTGGTATCAATATTAATCTATCTCTACACACGTAACAAAAAGGTGGCGTAATACTTTAGTACTTAAAAGTGTTCTGTCAACGTTAAGCACTTAAGATGTTAATTTGTCTTTATGTGAATTATGGTAAGAACGGTCTTAAATCTAATTAGGAAAGCTTAGCGTGCTGATGACTGTACCTGGTAAGTTGAGACATAAGTAAAAAATCGTGAACAAAACATGTAATAATAAGCCAAGTGATGTTTAAGGTGATACAGTAGCTTCAGTTACTCTAAGCCTATTAAAACTAAAATTATTACAGCAACTACATTCGTATTTAAATAAATCTCTATTCCATTGGTAATTATCAATAATCATAACATTTGTATAAAAAAAGGCCTCAAAAAATTCTTGAATTACATCTATTTGCCAAGTTCTATTGGAATTGATTAACGGAAAGTGGGTGAAATCCAATAAACTAGATTCATCCCCTAACGTGCCACCCTTAGAGGTGGAATGTTTTCTTCAAATTGAAATTGAGAGTTGACAGGCGCTCCCTTAAAAAATAATTATTGAAATGGGTTCACAAATGTCAAGCAACTATATATAATAAGTGATGTAATAGTGACGGGACGAACAAGTCCTGCGCCTGGTGGTAAGCGACACGCCTGTCCATAACAGTTGCAGTGCCACTCACAACTTTAAATGGCAAAGATCTGAGGGGCACTACCACCCTGCGCCCGCCACCTTGAGATATAAGTTGACAAGTGCGTGTAATTAAAAAAACAGTCGAATTGAGATCCTCCCTTTTCAAGTCGGTTAAAAATGACTCATACATAAGATAGATTCTATACTTCAAATAAATCTTTTTTATTAGATGGATACACTAAGTGCGTCCATATAATGTGCGACCACGTATAGATGTTAAAAATAACTTTTGTGTCAAATTACTTTAAACATGTCGATTTTTTTTTAAGTAAGTATTCTTTTTATAAGGACTATCTTCTATCAAACTGGAAACCAAAAAAATGTGACACAGAGTTAATAGTTGAAATTGAATTTGTGAGATTATTAATATCGGAAAAGCCCTTTCCATTCCAAACACTTCCCGAATCAGCGAATAAGAGACGCGGATAACAAAACAATTTGTTTAATTTACAACTGCCGAACAGCCAATTATATTTGTCACAAAATAATAGTGAAAATGTTTGAAAATATCGTTTTTCCGCTTATAATCAATTTATATCTCTGGGCCAGCACGGCCTTGCTTAGTAACATGGTTTTTTGTTTCCAAAGGATAACTTTGAAAAATATATTGGTTCATTAAGCAAGTAATCAACGAGACAACAATCGAATTGGACTAAAGCGGCCGTTTACAAACATAAAGAAACAAAAAATGTACCTGTTAAAAAAAAATCTTGAAAATACGCCTTGGCAAAATTTAAAAAAATACTCATTAACAGACAAGATACTAGTAGAGTAGTTTCACTGGTTAAATATAAAACTTATTACATAATTGTAACAATTAATTGAAACTGCTAATTAACATGAGCTTCTCTTTCCTTTACGTAGGCTAGGCCTAGTAAACTAAAAGACCTACACAAACATTTTGTAACGCTATTTTTGTCGTTCAACATTTACAAGACATTTTTTAATTAATATATTATTATAATATTTCTACAATAGTAAAAAAAGTTTTACAATTTGCAACAATCTTTCCTAAAGAACATATTGGCGGCAAGTTAGTACGGGTCTCTAAAAATCAACCTTCACTTTGTAGTTATAAGATTTGAATTTAAGTGAATATTCGATCATAACTCCATCATTATCTGGTTACCGGCGAGCCATTTCTACCAATATACATACATATGATAGCGGACTTCTATTTACTTTTATGTATGAAAAGAAAGTTAAACAATTACCGGCTTAACTCGGGCTGTGATTGGTTAATAAGATCCATCGGGAAGCTCCGTATTATCAAGGACAGGTTACTTACTACACGTTTATTAATGAAAATATTTTGAGTAAAGTTTTTAAGAAGTGGGGTATGCGCTCTGTCTCGTACAGTGTTTTGATAATACGTGGAAAATTTTAAGGCAAGCCGGTGGGAATCAAGTTATATGGACGCCTAGCCACTGGTACCCAGCAGTGAGATTATACTCATGAAGATCAAACTTACCCATTGACAAAAAGCAAATTTAAATAAAGAAATTACTTATGCAATAAAATATTATGTGCAGTTGACATCAAGCTATACACTTTCGTTCTAATATCGCCTCTAGAGTAACGTAACAAGATCCGTCAATGTGTAGCTTCATTTATGCTGCCGTCCGTACAACGGTTTTCAAAAGAGAATTTTAACACGCAACTCGATAATGTCATATGTTGTTCATAACAAAGAAATCGCCATTCTCGCATAAACGTCACTCTACATTTATATAAATGTAATTTATGTTAAAAAGAATAGTAATCTTTTTCTTCAAAAATTGTGATATGTTTATCACAATTTTTTAAAACATTAATACGAGGAATAAAAATAAACTAGCTATTTTTGACAGTCGTCTTCAGAAAGTTTCAAATTCATTTATACGCTTCTGTAACTCCGGGTGATATTAAAAATTTGCCATTTACGAGGTTTAAAGCTTTGTACTAAAGGTTTATTAACAGCTTCTGCGTATTTGCGTGACAATTTATAGCCCATTTAGTTCTTGCAGATTGTCTCGTTTTATATGATGTTTGAAATAAATATTGTATGTGATAAATGTATAGGATAAATATTTGTAAAGAGCAAACCCTAAAGTTTCTAGCTCTATTCTTCTCAGAAGTATTTGCCTTACGAATGAGGAGTGTAATTTGCTTCTCTATCAAATAATGACTAATTGACTTTGACTAACTTACGTTCCCCACACTTTTGATTGATAATTTTACAAATTTATTTTACGTCCGCTGTCTTTGTGTATTTTGCTTCCCTGGTATTTGCAAGAGCACACCGCACACACTTATATAAGGTGGCTTAATTTGTTTCTACATCTTTGAATTCCTTCTATCCTGGTATTCACCAGGCGTTACCAGCGTGAAATTAAATTATTTATTATTAATACTTGAATCCACGACCATGCTGCGCCATAGTAATGCTCTTACCAACTGAGCTACGGGTCAAGTTACAGAGTTGTCGAAATTCTCTCATATGTTTTTTGTTAAAGATCTTGTATTGGATTTTTCGCCATTCTGCGCCGCTAGAAGGATTAGTACATTACTGCAGAGGCCGGGAAGCAAGGGATTGCTGGACGAGTGAGTTACAAGGCCGAGCGCCAGCGTAGCCTTATATTAATACGAGTCAAGCAATGCCCATTCCGGCCATGGCGTGTTGTTTTGTCAAACAATGCGAGGAAATAATAAAAAACTCAAGAGAGGAAGATGTATAATAAAAAAAAAGTAGAAAAAACAAAATTATTAATTAATTAATTAAACAAAAATATATTAATGATTTTCTATGTCCTTTGTGGTGATATTCGTGAGCTCTGTACTCCTGCATGCGTCGTTTACCCCTAAAATTAGAGCAACCTGAAACAAACAAAGTGTTGTTATGGTTATTTACAGTATTGGAACTAATATATTTCAATGTTACATATTACAATATATATACGAACAAACCTTACCTTAGTTGCTATTGTTATTCATCTAGATTTAAAAGGTTAAAAAACTGGACAGCAATGGATTTTCAGACTTACTTTGCTGGCCTTGGCCGGGAAGAAGTCTCACGGTCTATAAATGACTAAATTCCCGTGTTCCTTTTTTTGAAAAGTAATGTAAACATTTCCGAGCATGTTTGAGAAAAACTGTTTTCTATACATTGACTTACAAATAAATGGACGACGGGTCTAATACAAAAACCACGAAAAAATGTCCCAAGTCAACCTATTCGAAATTTAAATTGTTATGTCATCGCAGTATCGCGCTGTCCGTAGAACAAATGAAGACTAAAGCGGAGTGTCGCGCTCTGTATACGATTTTAGCGCCTTACAAGTGCGGACACTTTTTAGCGCGGACCCGACGTCCATATAATTGTAAGTCAATGTTTCTATATGTTGGATTTTTCTATTAATAATCATAATAAAAACTTGTGATGTTATTTCACAAAATATCTCAATAATGTATACTATTTAATTTATAATATTTTTACCCGACGCGAAGTGGAAAAAGGCTTATTACCTCAAACTAGGAATTTCCTTATACAATGTCTACGAGAGCAGCGGAATTCACTCCAGAGCACTACCCGAACATCCAAACCAGTACCAATGCAGAAAAGAACATTTTCCCAAATTGGTCCCACTCGGGACAACTTAAGCGTGAAATTCCGACCTGCACCCGTCTCGCGCCCGCGCGTGGTGTGTTGTCGTCCATATAAATAGGCACGGAATTACACCCGCCGCGCTCCCAACCCGACTCGCGCCCGACCCGACTCGCGCCCGACCCGCATCCGCTTTCAGTGCGTTTCACGCTTAATCCAGCAATTAAAGTGCAAACCATTAAGGTACCGAGGTCTTACTTATCTTTAGACATAATTTCTATGTTATCCTAGCGGCGATTGTTTATATACTTATCTATGTATTATAAATTGTTTCAGATAATACTTTTCTTAACCGCGCTGTGTCAAGCGGAAGATGTGTCAAGAAATGAACAGGATATAGACAATCAGAAAACAGCGAAGAGAGCGTTAGAAGAAGGAAATGCTGGCATTGTAAAAAGGGCTCCTGTTCTCCTGCCTTCTAGTAAGTTGACATAACTATTGTTAATGTCATACTTGTACGAGTACAGAAGGTAAAAACATCGCAAGGGCAATGGGTGAATTAATACGACGACACAATGGCTTCAACAGTGACGCAACTCAAAAATTACAAATGTGGAGCAAATAGTGAATTTTTCCGTGCAGAATGAATTGTAATAGGGAGTATTTACATTCAGCTTGACGCGTCCGAAGTGATGTAGCTTTCACTGTTTTATGTTTTTCAAAACTTTCAAAGCTTTTGTGCATCCTCTGCAGTATACACATCTTTCAACTACCTGTTGATTTTTTATCAATTTTAGACATAGACTAACGATGATAGCTAGGCGTAGATCTATGCTTATATATATTCTATATCTTTACGTATATATACCTAATTACTATATTTCACTGCCTCAGTGGCCGAACGGTTACTATGCTGAACTGCCACGCAGAGGTCCCGAAGTCCATTCCCGGGCTGAGAGAAGTATTTATATGGCCTACATTTACTTTTCTCTTGGGTGTAATTTGTGGTTACGTGTGTGTGTTCATGACATCCACGAGCCCGCCATACAGGGTTTCCCTACTGCGAGGCTTTGAGTGCATCCATTAAAAAATATTAAAAAGTGTGCTATTTTTCGAGGGAGGCCATGTATGTATGGATATTGCAAATTGTTTCTTGATCTGCTTACCAATAATTTTACTTGAGAAATTAATACATTTCACACAAAGTGTCATATAAGAAAACACATTTAGGCCTGCAACACACAGAAAGCGGGTGCCGTGTCGGGATCGTGGCGAGTATAATCCCGTGTATTTATAAGGGCGACAATACCGCGAGCGCGGGCGCTGGACGGGTGCACGCGCCCGCGTTCAGTGTATTGCCGTTCATACAAATACACGGAATTAGACACGTCGCGGTCCCGACCCGACACGCGCCCCACCCGCACCCGCACCGCTTGGTGTAAGTAAGGAGATTAAGCGGTGATCAAGAAATAAATTTATATTGCCCGACCTTTTCAAAGGTTAATTTAACATAAGAAAATACACACTTAATGATACATTCTTATTTTGCAGCATTATCGACAGCAACGCCAGGCATTGAATACGCGGAATCCGACGATGGACAATCAAAATCTCCCGCTCAGGTAAGTTCAGTTTTATAAAGCTTTCATTGACTAGATACATATGTTTAATAATGCGGGAAAAGGTAAACGTATTAAAGACAACTGAGAACCAAAAAGATTCTTAAGAACGTTTCAGAAAGAAAATGACGTAATTGTACGGAAAGACCTAAGCGAAGGTACATAAACCAGATAAGGGAAAATTTTAATGTTGTTTCGTAACTTGAATAGGAAGAAGACTTATTTTTGTCCACAAAAGTACTAAAAACATACTTAGTAGCTGCAGTGCTCCTTGTGAAAGAGTTCGTCTAGGGAAGTACTGCCACCTTAGCTATTTCTGCCTCCAAGCGGTAACGTGAACGTTATTGAGTTCTGGTTTCAAAGGGTAAAGGTGCTGGTGAGATTACAGGTATATGAGACTTGTTAACTTATCGTCTCAGGGTGACGGGCGCAGTGGGAGTGCCCCTCCGACCTTTGCGATTTAAAGCGCTGAGTGACACTGCAACTGTTATGGATAGGCGTCTCACTTACCACCGCGCACGACTCGTTTGTTCTGTCACTTAGTGCCTATCATAAAAACGTCACAACAGAAATGTTAAATACGGCTGTCGAAATTTTCAATTTAATTTTTACAAGGGATAAAATTTATAAAAATATCATTAATATCATTGACTTACAAATAAATGGACGACGGGTCTAATACAAAAACCACGAAAAAAATGTCCCAAGTCAACCTATTTAAACGTAGTGACATGTCAAGGAATATGAAAAAGCTAAAACGTTGAATTTAAATTGTAATGTCATCGCAGTACTGTCTAATTTTGCTTGCTTCGCTGTCAGTCGAACAAACGAAGACTAGAGCGTGAATGACGCTCTGTATACGATTTTAACGCCCTATAAGTTCGGACACTTTTTAGCGCGGACCCGACGTCCATTGTAATTCAATGATTAATATTCTAATTTCTCTTGAATATTACCGAGAAAATTTACTATTAATTTGACTACATGCTATAAAATTATTAACGAATTATAACAAGTAATCTGAATCATAAAAAAAACTTTCGTTGAGAAAGTTGGTAAACAATCGGGAATAACCGCTTATGGTCAAAGGCGGACTGACACATTCATCCCACAATGCATCAGCGAAGATGACGTGTGACTCAATTCCTTACTCTCTGGCTTCTACACCCGATATAGAGCTGTGACTTTAGTAGCTGTTACTGCCTACCGTGACTGATATTCCAGATATACCAAAATTGTCACACATTCTAATACGATTTAAATATATTGTACAGTCCAGAGCACACCAAGTTTGATATTTACCGCTTATAATAAGGTGTGTACAAAATCTATTGTGTTAAGATTGACGTAGTGTTGACTGTACATTACAGTCATCAACGAAATGACTTACCTATTCTATTAAAGATATTTGTGCTATTTTTTTTTCAATTGACAATAGTCAGATTTTTTTTTATTTATCTTTACCAACCATATATATCTAGCCTAATTTTTCCATTCTACTCTCATCTATTGAAGTGTTATTGTATTTTGGAATTTCATTTCTCGTCATTGTTATTGTTTATTTAAATAATGTCTTGTGTTGGCTATGTATTGTAAAATAAATTGCGTTTTTAAAATATAGACATATTCCTAAAATTTAATAGATTAAAGTTTATTACAGACATCTAAACAATTTCCTACTTGCCAAATATATTTTAAAATAAAAGCGAAAAAATAATTTCATATTTTTAATGAAGACTGTTTTCTCCAGAACTAGCTCACAAAAAGTTTGTCTAATTTTGAGTTAAGTAGGTATCTTTTATTTATTTTTCACAATATTCTAATCATGTTTCTAGTTCAGCAATGATAATTGATCTTGAATTTAACATATTCTGAGTTATAACACCATTCTAATAGTAGTGTGTAATGCGTTTTAGAGAAAATAATTGGTTAAAACTTAATTTTGCTATTAGAAAGTTCAAGGCACTGATATGTACTTGTACGACCTCATACAAACACGTCGGTGTCCACTGTGCTGTCTTAACGTAACATCCTTACTTATTTCCGCCGCCAAGCAGTAATGTAGCATAACTGTGTTCCGCTTTTGAAGGGTGAGGGTGCTGTTGAAATTACAGGCACATGGGACTTGTCAACTTATGTCTCAGGGTGACAAGCGCAATGGCAGTGCCCCTCAGATCTTTGCGACTTAAAGCTCTGAGTGGCACTGTCACTGTTACGGACAGGCGCGTAGCTAGCTTACCATTAAGCGCACGACTTGATCGTCCTGTCACTTGATATTATAAAAAAATCCATAAACGTGTGCGTATTCTCTATATTTTATAAATTCTCTTAGAAATCGCATTCTTATGCCCGTGGTTGGTTTTTTGAGATTCATATAGCGAAACGGGGTCGAACTATCATATTCTGATTTTGCGGTAAATGCCGTTACTGCCCACAAACGGGTTAAAACATAGCACTTAGAATCTACCTAAAATAATAATAATAATAAGCCTTTATTACAAAAAATATTTCAAAAACAAAATTCTATTTATACAAAAACATGCAAAATTAAATTAATTTCATTTAAATTGATTGTTATATGTAATACCGAATTTAAACATACGTAGATTTAGAATTTACCTAAAATACCCATTATTATTTATTACCAGTCACCTGGACCCGATGCTCCATCACTCACGATAGAATGTCTACTTTTATTTTTAGAAGAATTAAAGTGGAAAAATCTTTATTTTTTTGTTTCTATTTTATCTTGGACAAATTTAGAAATTATTTCTATTTATAAAAAATTTCCTAACAATCTCATTTCATATACGTTTTTTCATATACGTTTATTGGAATTGTTACTACACAGATCCTTTTCATATTTACGTAGTATTTTAGTAATAGTTACAGAATTGTTATTTTAGCTCCAGCTCTAAACCGGACAACTTTGTCGTAAAAGAAATTTAATATAAAAGTTGGGCTGAGTGGCTCAAGCCGGCCGAGAAATTTTTTCTATGAAAATTTTTCCTCAACCTTTTTATGCGCGGCCATTTTTTACGGTACGACTGAGATTCTATCACACGCGGTAAAATAGTTTCTTGTGACAAAAAATCTGCCAACTTTGCTAAATGTGACGTCAAGGAATTCAGATTCTTGCCATTGTCGAAGTAAAACTTCTAAGAACTACCACCAGCATTCTAATACTCCTATAATAAGTCCAAATCCCGGTGTTCCGGAAACTGGAAAACTGGTTATTATACTGGTTAACGCACTTCGACGATTACTTCGGCATTTGTGACCCGAATTTGATGATTCTTTTTTTTTTTTGGAAAGAAGATATCTTGGTATTATTGGTCCCATTTAAATTTGAAGGAAATATTCCACCTCTAATAGTGGTTGAACTAGGGGATGAATTCCATTTAATTTAGAAAAGTAGGCCTAGATCTATCTTCCTCGCTCTTGAGTCAGTCCATAAATTGTTGCGATTTCAAGCTCCGGGTTGCAGTAGCAACTGTTATGGACAGGTGTGTCGCTTACCACCCGGCGCACGACTTATTCGTTCCGTATATGGTATAATAAAAAGAAATTTCAGCCGACCACTAGTACGTTCCATGTAGCCCTTTCCACTTCTCCTATGACAATTATAAAACAAAGTTAGCTTTATTATTATATTATAGTATATAGGTTTATTTTAGTAATTATATAAAAATAAACATACTTCCGCTGTTGTCTTGCAAGGCCGGTCAAATATTGGATTTGGTCGATTGTTATTAGATGTCTATCTCTTTAAAGGCTGGATTTTGGGCTGTTTATCATAGGAAAGTTGTGATACGTGCTATTAAACATCTTTATTTAAATATTTAATCTATGCCGTTTGGATTTCAATATATAAGAATATTTTAAATATGTAGTTCGAAATGTTGTACTACGCTATTATCGCCGTTTTATAGTTTGTTCGCTAATCAAGTTTAGTATTAATTCATAACTACTTTAAAGGAGCTGATTGCTATACATTGTTGGCAATAGTGACGTGCAGTAAAATTTATAGAATGTATTTTACGACTCGGCATTTGTTTTTCAAAATTCGAAATTTTTAAAAATGAAATCTAATGTGATCGTCATTTGTCTATGGGATCGCTGTCCAGCACAACTTCCGCCTCCGGCAAACTCGCGTCAAAGCACAATGCAAAATAAAGCAGTTTCGAATTGACGATATATTAAATAAACCCTTTTTTCGTATTTTCGTAGTATTAAAACATTCTAATCAGCTATCCCTTGTAATACTAGTTACAAATCTAGAAACTTATAGATGCGATTCGCATTTGATTATATTTTTTTCCATAATGAATTGAGATTTGACGTCTCTATTGTAATCTGTCAAAACGGCCGTCATACCGTGGCAGTAATGTAATACCTGAAAATATTATCATATATTTAGAAACATTTTCAAAAATTTTATTAAATAATTTTGCAATAAGTAACTAAGTAAAAACCTTACAAAACACCTCATTAAGATTTGTTTATATTTCGTTAACCTAAACCTTTGTAGTTTATAAACCTGATCCATTTTGTGTTTATTGGTTTGGAATAACATTATTTTGTTATTTCAATACACAGAAATAATTATCTCGGCTTAGATAATTTTGACATTTAGGTAGCTATTACCTTACAACGTACCTTGTGGAGGTCGTAATCATTATAGCCCTCGGTTTGTACGTGCCGCCGGACTTATTAGGACCAGAGATTATTTTCAAAGGTTGTACTGTTATACTATTTTGTAAGGCGAGGTTGTTAAAATACTAGCCTACTATGTTGCGGATAATAAAGAGATTCGGACGAAGACCTACGCTTCCACAACGTCAAAGTCAAATTCCATAGCTAAATTTTTTACACTTGAAAATGTCTTTTTTTTTGAGATTTGAGAAGAAAGAGCAAGAAACTCTAGGGATTGCTCTTTTCAAATAAACTTAAATGCACTTTGAATCATAATTGTGTGGAATCTAGACTCGTATTGTCTTTCC